TACTACTTCCTCCGAGATGTGGTGCCAATGGAGTACGGCAAGGAGTACCTCAAAACGCCCGAGTTCATGTAGGATGCTGATTGTTGATGGCCTCTCCTCGAGCCAGATTCTCATAGGAACAAGTTGATGGTCCGAGCAGGAGCTGGTCAGCCAGGAGCCGCAGCCAACTATCAACGGTCAGCAGGGGACTAGGCATGTCAATGAAGGAAATTACTGTTGATTTTTATGCACTCTTACGTCGAACCGTGTATAAAGTTTTATAGTCAATCGGAAAACCGAAAACTCCTCTTTTTTTGCAAAGTTAATTCTGGTCAACGAGGTTGTGGTATTTCAGACAAGCTCAAATGCGACAGCAGAGAGATATGCGATTCCAGGGTGAGGGTCATCGTCTGGGATAAAGGGCCTAGCCTGCCACATTTTCATCACATACTACTGTTCAACTAACACACACTGCTTCGCGTTAGAGTTATTATCAGTAATATCGAAGGGTCCTCCTGTTAGCAAACTATGAGTAGGTGAGTGTAGCATCTGAGTACTATCTCGATTGCTCTGTTATGTGCTGTTATAACCCGTCAATGGTCTACAAAGGATTATAGTAGAAATTATAATCAATAATTATCAGTATAGTTACTACTAGTACTACTACTTACTTACTATAACTCGGTTAATTATAATCCCGGTATAATCATTATAACGAGCCTTATTTACTGAATTCATCTTTGTCTGGTCAGCGGGTTCCTCCGATGCTCTACAGGGATTCGGTGGCGATGCGGGCCTATCAACCTTGCCAACGCTAGTCTGTATTCAACCTTGCTCTTCCTAGGTTTGTAGGCGCAAACATCTTCGATATTCTGGGTCCTCAGGCTCTAGCGATCTACCTAGGAAGCTATGACGATGCACTGCTCATAGTATCTGGGGGAGGTTGTTGACAGCTCAAGAGGCTCATGCTAGTCTATGCTTTTCAACATCATAACAACATTCCCTACGAAACTAATACTGATAGGCTTTTCCATGTTCGACGATGCCTTCGAGATTAGTCTGAGTCGAAGGCGGAGTCAAGCGTGCGACTCCTCCACAACGGCAACTCAATCCTGAGGCTTCGTGTCTTGGTCATTCGTGTAGCTGGCCAGCGTCATCGCGTTGATGACAGGGAGTTTTTGAAATTCATACTTACTACTACTCTCGCTATCATCCACGTATCATCATCTGGCCAAGCGGGTATTGCCTGCCGATCACTGGTAAAGTCTTCGCTGTTTTGTGCTACCATCGTAAGTGCACCTATCTGTCCTGCGTTGACCCCCATGGCTACTTTGAGTGAGCATTGTGAACTCACTGCCAGAAATAGTTGTGCGCATCTAAATGCAGTCTGCCAATGCACAAGTAGCTAAATCGGTATGCCTTCGTATGGAGATCCATTTTGATGGCACCCGAGACGATTGGTCGGCGACCAGGGGTGAGAGACCACCCATCAACGTACGGACCAGTTGGGTCGGCACTGGTCCTATTGGGGTACTCAGGTCCAGTGCGTGTCCTTCTCTGGTACCAGCCCGATCAGTATGACGGACCATAATCAGGCATGGCTCGATGGTCACCATAGAGTTTTTCATGTCGAATACACTAGGTCCTATCAGCGATCCACAATGGAGCGGTAAGCATCGACTTGGCAGGAGGTGGTGCTCTTGCTGTTGTACGGGTTCATATAGATCAACTTCCACTTCAAATCAAGTAGCCATTTTCGCCAGCTCCGCCGGTCAAAGGCTCTTGCAGGTACATCGCCGTACTGTGCCGGCGGAGTCCTGATGGCCATCCGTTGTCTGAGGCTGCCAAGTCAATGAAGTGGGTATTGTCCTAGCTCGCCCCACGGTGCACTCATGTGGTTAGTTATTACGTCGGTTATGAAGGAGTAGGCGAGGAGGAGCCTTTGGTCACGGTCGAGGAGGTTCCCTTTTCTGAAAGCGATGTGGACTGGTTCGTCATCGGAGTAAGTGTACCAAGCTCGGCTTGGAGACGGGTATAGTAAGTCTTATTATAGGTGCTCATTGTGGACAGAGACGCTGCTGGACAGGTCATGGCTGTATATGTGAGGCTCATCGGTCACCACGGCCTTCGTCTTAATGGTCCGAGCAGGCGCGCAATGTCTGCTCCTTCCCACAAGAAATGGGGGAGGTCGACACGCAGCTCCAAGGGCTAATCGAAGACACTTCGGATGAGGTCGGGCAGAATGCTCACGGTGAGTCCAAACTAGCTTGGTCATGGGCGTGTGGAAAGGGCGATTCTCAGCATCTAATGCGGATGACTATACAACGATGCCTGTTCCTGTGGTGCAAGTAACACGACCGGCAGCTGGTACCTCACAGTGTGAGTGCACAGCGTGCCAGACAGTGTCCGCTACGCCTGTTGGAGAAGGGAAAGACGATTCGATACAGAGACAATACCCCACCAAACGGGAGATCCAATCGTCATCGTCTTCAGAGTCGCAGTCGAGGTGGGCTTGCCAATAGGACCATGACTGTGACACGTTTTCTACAGTGATTCGTCACGGTCAGAGGAAGCCATCGGAAAGGCGTACGCTCATCGTTTGACCGAGTTCAGGGAGTCACTACGGTGTGCCAGGAATGGAACTTCCATTCCTTATGGAAGGTGGTCTTAGTGATATTGTACAGTAGGCACATCGAGGTCCCCAAGCTGGACCAGCAAACGATTGTCCTCATCAGCCGGACACTGCGAGACTAGACAAGTCCTTCACCACTCTGAAGTGAGACGACAAGGGCAATTGACTGACCAACACCCTATCAGCAGGGTGACCCTGCTGCTCAACAGGCGAGTGGCAGACGGGTCGAGACTCGCTCAGTGACCTCCCCGGCTAGTAAGGGGAACTGGCCGGCGGTACCAATACTACCGGCCCAGACTTCGTTCCGGCCAAGCGGGACAGCTCACGATTTCACTGATCGAGGCTGGCGGGGTTCAACGTTCACCTCATGGTCTCGGTCCAGCAGATAGTGATCCAACGGCAACAACTACTGCGCTTTATTCGACGTTACGTGGGTCCACCGCACAGGAACACTCTCGGACACTGGGTAACCATCAGCCGTAGATAGAGCTAGTGGTGGAACCACTACTGCAAGCTAGTAGTGTCACTTGGTGTATTCCACCTGGCAAGTGGCGTGGTGTTGCAGCGGCTACCACCATGAGCAAGCTGAGGACCATACTAGCTACCAAGGACGAGGAGATCGCCACGCTGCGCCGTCAGATCCGACAGGAAGGACGATTACGGGCGGAATTGTGAGGGTCCCCAAATGGAAACTGGACGGCGATGTTCGGGTCACCCGAATCGGGTGTTGAGGTATAAACAGCGCGATACAGCCAATGAGGACCAGCGATTCGCTGGCAGCGAACCATTGAGGAGTTCTTAAAAGACCATCGACAGTTAATCCGGTGCAGAGCGGCCCTCCATACAGCATTGTTCTACGCCCGTTGGAAGCAACGGAGAATAAAGGCGGACATGCTGGTACTGGATGGAAGGTGGTGTCTTGGCCACACTGTGGTTAGGTGACATGGTGGCCACCAGCAGAAGGCCGAACATCCACACTGGATGATAATGCGGCCAAGACGTTCCCCCAACGGACGAGGTCGGGGCCCGACCTCGTCCGGCTAGCATCTTGGCACACCTCTATGAGAGGTACAAGGCTGGAAGCCCCCCTTGGGTTTGTTCTTTTTGTCTGTTATAGAATAACCAGCTACAGGCAGAGGTAGAAATCCTCAAGGGCGAGCTCGAGCGGGATTCTGGGATGATAGAAAGGCTTAAGGCCACTTGCACTACCTCATCGGTGGTGATTGTTGGCCTGTGGTCTGGAGCCAATGTCCCTTCGTAGTGTCTTCGGTGTCCAATGATCGTGCGAAGGAGCTGGAGGAGTTGATCAATGAGATGAACAAGATGGCGGGGCAGCGGGTGTCCCAAGGTCCATTCTCATACCTCCTCATCTGTCCTTGGAGCGTAGCGACTCCCGGAGCGTAGCGACGGGGTTCCACTAGTATCGGGTGTGATATAATCACTGATGAGCGATTCAAACTTCCGGACTGAGGACGATTCTCTTACTTTTCTGGCAGGCTGCCAGTGGCAGCAGGCCTGGTTCGGAGCGTCGTTCGAAAGAGTTCATGACGAGGATGAACGACAGCTTTGGAGATCTCGCAGAACTCTATGAGCAGCCCCACTTTCAACTGGGCGTTGGGCACCTGCTTTGCCCAAAGCTTCAACATATGCCATGATGGCATAAGCGCGCGCCAGGGGTGGGGG